GAACAAACGGATTATTCCATTCTCGCAACAAACTGCGAAAAGGTGTGATAGAATAGATGACAGCGATACTGCCTACGTTTCTGCGTGGTTCACAACAATTCCGTCAACAATTTCAGGAGGTAGACGTCCAGTCAGAATATCAGTCACCAATAAACGCGATTTGACTATGAACACTCCCCCCCTTGCTATACTCCCGCCTGGCGTTTTCTCGGGAAGATCCGAATTATCTGACGCCCGTGTGGATGTAGAACGACAATTTAATCGGGCTTTTCCCTCTAAAACGGAGACAATGAATCGATTTCAGGATGATTCAGTTTCCGTTTCTTTGCAATGTGGTCGGTTTCTCCAATCCGATCATTCAGTAACAGTCCCATCAGTTCGGCACGTTCTTTCAAAGCTCGAGCTTCCTCCTCATTCGTGTTCAACAATAACACCAACCGTGACCCGATAACTGATTCTTGACTGATAGATACGTCCCTTCTTGGGCCCCAATGGAGCTTCTTCATCGTCTTGCTTTCTTTCTTCCAATTCGGCGCCAATTGGCGCTCCAACCAATCTTCCTTTTCTCTGTGGACTTCTTTTCGTCTCGTTAATGGAACGTTCTGGTGCTCTACTTTCCTTTTTGCTTCCAGATGACAACCATGCTGTAGGTGAAACTCCTGCAAGAATTCCAATAAAACTGAATGCAGTCCCAAACCAGGAGCTAGAACAACCAACGCATCGTGATCAACTAAATGTGCAACAGCCTCACGGACGAAAGTCAGAGAACACATCATACTGTGCCTGATGCCCTGTCTGAGCCTTTTGAATCATTTTGAATAATTGAAGGGATTGGAGGCTGTATGGTTGAACTTACAAAGCTTGATTGTACCCAAAGTGCATTAGATACAGAAATGGAGGCTATCCAAGCTCTCTTGGACGGTCAGTACCGTTACTCGCATAGTGAACTGACAATTTTGTACATCCAGACTATTGATGGTTTGATCAAGATCACTTAAGACACATCCATGTGGATGTATGTCTTTGAATAATATAGAAGTTCAGTAGTGATAAGTCTCCTTGGGGACCATGAAATGGAAACATACACAATAGGGGTTTTCGGCGAAAGTCGAGAAGGGACGACACGTTTGCACTTCAATAGATTTTCCATGTTGTATATTGGGACGATGGATGTTCCAATATATTCTGATGTGCAAGTGTTTGTCAACAGTGATAAAGACAGATCGGATGAATCCAGAAGCATTTTGAAGAACTTGATCAATTCTTGTGCTGAGCCTGTTGAAGAAGTCGAATGTGAGGGATCAGAGATCGATGATAACTTCGATCTTCTATGGTAAAGAAGGTTTCTCAGTATGGGTAGAGCTTGGCTGAAGAGTCATCGCAATTCAATGAAGAGCTCCGGAACCACTCTGCATCAAAATGGACAACAACGGTTTAGCTTTTGAATATTGAACCGGTTCCCGTGATCGAATCAAAAGGTATTTATTCTCTAGCAGGGATGAAGTTGGGCGGGTCCAGTGGCGGTGTGTAATAATCCGAGTTTGTGTAGAAGAAGAGGATACAGCAACACCCCGTCGGACTTTTCTTTGTCCAATCTATAGTCAAGTTGCCTGCAGCATTTGTTATCGAAAACTTTTGATTTTGAGACCCAAAAAAAAGGAAAAAAGGGCACCTAAAATTGTGACCGTGCGGGTCGCCTCTGTATTTGTTCCATAAGCCTCTTTCCTTCCTCAGGTGATTGCGATGGCCTAGCAGCTCCTTGCAGAGTTTGCCCTGCATGCTGCGAGAGAGAGGAATGCCATGTCACACATATTGACCACCACCTTACTCTGTTGCGTTGCTCTATTCTTCTTCGTTGTGATTTGAATTCAACTTTTTCCAAGGGCAATGCTTGAATTAAACCGTCAGACCCCGCGCATCATGCGGACATAAGTACGGGATTCCTGATTCTTTGATTGAAGAGGCTTCCAACCTGTTAGATTTGAAAATCTTACGGTCGTTGAATCGTTGGTGTCTCACCGAGGAAATGGTCCATCTTTAGGAACAACTCCTTTACGATAGAGCCGTTTTTTGCTCAAGTAGAAGTTTCGCCCTGAATAGGCAGTCAGTGCTTCTGTCCTCTCTTGGTTTGAAACCCACCTGAAATATTCTTGCTTCATTATCCATTTCGTTTTGCGAGAGGCACACCGAGCACTTCGTGGCGTTGTTGCACCAATATGGCGCTTTGAAGGGCATTTGGCCCTGGTGGAAAGTAATCGACCAGTCATGAGCTCCACAACTCACTTGGAGGCCACTTCAAGTTGCCAGTTTCGCTTTGCCAGGAGGGCCTTCTTGAGAAGCTTCGGGGGGTCTCGTATCTCTAACGGACGCCCTGATCGCGAAGCCAATTGGATTTCCTCAATTATCTTTGAATCCCTAAGGGAATAAATAGTCGAGATCCGGCCTGTTCGAGAATATTGAAATTTCTAGTACTCAGCAGTTGGGTTGGATTTTAGTGTGTTCACCTGGATGACCGGCTCGCGATGTTCGACCTGCACGATGCAAATAGTCAGCCGTCGTTCGGGGGCAATCAAACATCACGACATTTCCAACGGAGGGAAGATCTAAGCCGCGACTTGCCAAATTTGTTGAAACCAAAATGTTTGTTTTTTTGCTTAAGAAAGATTTATAGTTCATGGAACGGGTCCCTGATGATAAATCTCCATGCAAAGGAAGTGCGTTGTAGCCATGCGATCGTAATTCCCTCGCAACATAATCGCAGGCCTTCAAATGGTTCGTGAAAACAATTGTTTGATTTGATTCACCGAATGGTCTTGATCCGATATGAAGCTGCGAATTCTCAGAAAACTTTCCTGCGTTTGTCTCCTCCAACACTTCATAAAGACGCTGCATTCTAGATCTTGATTTTATAGGAACGAACACTTGATGGGTTTGGGGGGCGACAAAATGAGCTGCGGACGAAATGATCGGAGTGACAACTCCTGGTAAATGCTTTTCGATAAACAGGCTCAGCGCCGCTGTCTTAGCCGCTGTGGCAAAAACTATTTGCGGCATATTGGACTCTGCTTGCTTCACGTTTACCTCTGCCTCTGTATCCTTCTTAAAACTTCTTTTTCTCTGGCGGCTTCAGTCCCATAATTTTTGCATCTTCCTCGTCACTGTTATAGCCATCGTCAATGTCAGTTTCTGGGAGAGGGTCGACCTCCTCCTCCTCATCAGGTCTAACATCTTCTTCTTCATCAGTTTCTGATATGTGAGACGCTGTTGTTAAATTCGGGCCCACGTTTTTGACAAGATGATCCACATCAACATTGAGTGCTTCCAACTTCCCCATCAATTTCGTCCCTCGAAGCTTCAGAAGTTTTAAGACATTAAGTGTTTCTGAATTCAGAGGCTCAGCACACATGACATCAGCTTCATCGATCACGACCGCTTCGACTTTGTTTAATCGGATTTCCCCCCCGCAAAAAATGCGTGATGAGTCGTTGTGGGGTGGAAACAACAGCGTCATCGCCTCTCTGACGTAACTTCGATCCCCAAAACACAAGAGGTCCCTTCCCCATCCGCAGCCCCCACTGTTTTTGGCTGTAGACGGGCAACTACTTTCGCCGTCTGATCGACCAGTTCGCGGGTTGGAGAGAGAATGATAAGACGCGGTCTTCCTGGGTATGGAGCAAGTTTTTCAACATCGGAATCAAACAATCTTGAAATGAGCGGAAGCAAAAAGGCAGCTGTTTTTTCCGCTTCCAGTTGGTCCTACTATTAATGCCGAAATCCCTGAGAGACATCGCATTCCCAACCACTAAAAACGTAGCGTGCATTGGGGCTACAGAATCAGCTCACCTGCTAGAAGTTTTGGAATCGCCAACTGCTGAAGTTCGGTGGGTGTTTGATGACCGCTTTTCAATATTGCAGACTGAACTGCACCACACAGCTTAAATTGTTTGAATGTGTGAAGTTCCGTTAATTCTTTAAATATTAAATCTGCTGTATTTTCGAGCGTCTTCTCTTTGCTTCGATGCCGTTTCTTCTCCCCCAGTCCCTCCAACTCCTTCTCTACGCTTCTTTTAACTTCGCCTTCAAGCAGCCTGGCGACCTTCTTCCTATCAATGGATCGAGTCTGGGGATTCGATTTCACAGTACTGTCTTCAAGCGGAAGAAAGATCTCTTTCGGTTTGACTCCGAATAAATTATGCGGTCTCTTCTCTTCAGATGACTTCCAGCCAGGAGTTCCTATCCTTCTCACACGTTCCTCCATTTCTTGAGTCTCCTGAGGAAATCGAACACCCAGCTGGGCACGCTCTCTTATTGTTTTGTATTGCTTGAATTTGCGAGGTTTGACAGGAAGGCGTCGTCGATGCTTTGGTTTTTTGGTGGCAAAATTTCTGCACTCCGGATACAAACTGAACGGGCCTCGAAAAGAGAAGTGCCAGCTGGCGTCATATTTGAAGAAATTCCGATTAGACGATTGAAATCTTTTTCCAAGTTGGCCCAGCCTCCCTGCGAACGCCTCCATCAGTCAACGGAGGTGTCGTGCCAAAAATCTGTTCAACACCCGAAAAAGTCTAAGAACCTTGGTTTCTATTTAACACGAATCAAACGACAATTAGGTCCAAAACGTAAGAATTTCTTCTTTCCAGTTCTTCCTCTTTTGCGAGTTTTGAAATTCGTCATCCAAGATTTCCATCGAATACTAGAAGGCTCTAATGGAGAAGACCAATGTGGTAGTCGACCAGGAACAAAGGGGAGATGAGAGAGGAATGATAAGATACCCCTTTGCATAGATGAAACGGCTCTGAAACAAGTGATGAAGAAGAGCAAGCCACGCACGGATCACTAGAGGTCTGTTTGCATGACATGCACCTATGAAGGACAATGCTCGAAGGACGAGGGGTTGGCGAACCACCTAAATCACAGAAGTCGATCAGTGCGAATCAGTAAACGCACCTATTCCTTCACTGATGGCGAGTATCAATAATGAAGCTTCCAATACGCAAAAGATGCGAGAACATTTGGCGCGAAAACAGACGGCAGCGCCATCACTTGAGGAAACAGACCTCATCATGTGCAGCAGCGTCGTGAACTTGGGAAGCTCAGTAAGTCATCGACAGTTTGGATCGACACTGAAAGAAAGGATTGCGGAGGATGTGCCCGATACAGAGTTGTTGTCATCATGGTATCTGTTTCTCAGATAGCATTGAATCGAAATGCTGCATATGCTGATCTTGTCAGCGTTATGGAGGCGAATCCAGCTGACCATGCAATTGTCTCTGATGTCGATCATCAACTTCTATTAAAGATCAATTTTAAAGATCCAGTCACTTGTACTTCAGTAAGTCTCAGTGTTTGAGTTTCGCTTATTTCTTCGTTCTGATGAGGTCTGTTTTCGTGCTGAGACTCCCCCCGCACAACAAATACACGCGCAGCAATCTGGTGAAAGGTCGACCACAGAAATCAATCCAGCCGACTGCTCTGGCCCCAAAACTATAAAATGCTTCGCGAATCTTGAAGGTAAAGAGGCGTAGGAACACTCGTAGTTCTTATCTCATTTTTTCCAGATTTAGATTTCGTTGATACAGAAACAGCGAATCCAGCTCAACTTATTGAGTTGTCTCCACAGCAATTGTAAGGACATCACCTGTGTTATTGCTTAATTGGTTCAATTTGTAGAAAGGGGGAAAAGATCTCCCTAAGAGGCAATCGCTTCTCTAGATGTCAATCAATTCAATTTTTCATCGAAACGAATCAAGGAGAAACGTAAGATTGCAATTGTGCTCCGATGTATCATTCCCTGAAATACAGGGAATACACATTCTTGAATCGTTTGTGCCTTTGGGGCCGGATTTCACCTGCTTATCAAGTTGATTTTTAACACCCATTTTTGTGGCGAAACAAACTTTTGTCCTAATTTCTGAACTCCTACTTGTGCCAGAAAACACAACCGTTAATGCGGATCCCTTGGAGTCCGTCGACACCTCCTTCAGATCAAAGCTGGCGGTTCCATGGAAACACTGCTCAAACTTTAGATTTTTTCCATCGTATGGCCAAGCCCCTCGATAGTCTTGCGGCGGTGGTGGAGGCCGCCTCAGTGTTTGATGGTAAAAGGCGATGCCCTCTCGGGAAAGAGAGGCTGGTTGGATCTCAAACGGTCCGACCCGTCAATTTGGCGCGATTTCTCAAAACGTGTCAAGACATTGAAACCGACCTGAGAGCCATTTGCACTGAAACGAAGCGGAAACACCCCGAAATCAAATCTTTAGCTGAGCGTGCTTTGGTTAAAGTGGGGGACTTTCGGGAGAGGCGAGAGTTTCTTCACCGAACAGGTAGTTGATCTTCGAAATTGCCACCGTTCATTGTTTGACGCCAGGCAGTTCCCTCACGTCGGGTGAGACCCACCCCCTCTATAGCATTATCCCCAAATGAAGCGGAAGCCTCAGCACTCCACTTCCCGACTTGGAATGTTTTCTCCGCTGTTGGAGCTGTTGGACACGTTGCCGCGTCGGGAGGCGGAACGATAACAAAATCGTTGATTAATTCTTTGTCATTATTGCAACGGTTGTTATCGTTGTGGCAACAGCAACAACAAGCCAAAAGGGAACGTGAACGGTCGACATGGACCGGCAAAGAGGACTTAGATGTTGGTGGTTTTGAAGATGATGTCTTCCTAAATGAAAATCAATTGGAAGTGATTTTCAAAATTTTGTGTGAACAATCTGGAGTGATTGGTGCGATTCGACGAAGTTCTGTCCAACAGTCTCATAATGAGACCTCATCCTCAAAACCCTCCAATCGACTTCAAGATTCACGGGGGACGCTTTCGTCATTAGCAACATCATCGGATGTGGAAGCTGTCCAATTGAAAATACTTCAAACTCTTCTTCTTCTTTTTTCAGTTGATACTCCATTGTTTTCGTTCCTTCCCGGCGCATCGCGTTCAGACCATCAAGGCATTCCCCCTAATGATGCTTCGATACCGCAGTCCCTCGAACCTCATCTGCGCAATGCCTTGGAAGGACTCTTCACAACTATCCTCACACCGTGTTCCTCAAATTTTCGCTCTTCTCGTATCCCTGCATTCGTCCGTCACCTTTCCCTTCGGTTCGTCACACAGCACTTGCAGGACTCTCCCAGTTTCTCCGCTATTCAATTGATTGTGCCGTCGTGGCACTCAATGATGCCACCCATTTTCATCTCAGCACTTCCGGTGAGTTAGTATGAATGAGACGCATTCGTAACTGAAGGACCCGATGATACACGAAGTTGTTCAATTCGTCTACTTTCAGATTTGATTGCAGAATCGGTCCGTGTGCCCATTCAACTTCTCCCACAAGACATTCCACACTTTGTTGTAACATATCTGCTACTACTACAATTATGCGACTCGGCATCATCAGTACAACCAGAATCAATCCATAATGGAGGTCTACTCAAACTGCTTCCAATCGATGATTCCCGTTTGTGTTTGGAATTATTGGGATCCTCTCTTACATCATCGGCAGCATTATTCGCGGATCACCCTTTGTTCACCCAGCTACTTGTTGAGAATATCGAACCTCTCTTGTTGCAGTTACTCGACAATCCAAATATGAGTTTTTCTCATAACTTACAGTGAGTTCCAGCTCGTTCACCTGTGGACTACCCCTATAAGTTATAGCTAAAATATCCCTTTTCCCTCTTAGAGCTCTTCGTCTGCTTCAGTCCTATTGGCTCAATTTGTCTGATATACGGCTTCCGAGTGGCCGGCCAGCCGACCTCTTGATCTCAGTTCTGAACGCCGTCGAGGGACGTTTTGATCGGACATCGCAAGCCCCCGTGGCGACGTGTCACCTCAGTTGCGTTTCTCAGGTGGCTGGTGGAACAACAAGGTCGGCTAACGCGATTGACCCAATCAGGCGCGCAAGAAGAGGGTTTGAACTCTCAGGATAACACAAACGAGAACAATCAGGGGTCGCTTGTGTTTGCGCAACTTGTGGAGTGTCTTGGAAAGATGGTTCACGAGATTTGTTTCCATTTTCTCAGAACAAAGACCTTCTGATTGATGCGCTGGGGTGTCACGCCTTGAGATTTCCCTCCAATTTGGTGTTTCCCTTGCTTCGCGTGCCGCCACGTCACGAAATTCACGAAAAACGTGTGAAGAGCTCTTTAGAAGCTTCCAAAATCTATTTAATGGAAACGCATCACGCTGGATGCATCGTGGATGAACCTTTAGTTCCCTTGATGTACCTCTCAATGTCGCAATGGTCACTAGAAGCGCGACGTTGGCAGCAGAATAACCAGCAGCAAACTCGACTCCCTCCTTCTACTCTTGTTTTGTCTTCTCTAACTTCGTCGTCTCAACTACTTGAAACCTTAGCTCACGAAACCGCCCCGTCGGTAAGAGATTCAGATAATCTAGCTCCTTCTTCACTCGGACGCTTGTCCATGGAATCTTGAGACTTGTAATCTCCTTCTACTTCGTCTTTCAACTGAGACGCTGTTATGCACCATTTCTGTTTTGATGGAAGCGACCCTTAAAAGTGAGTTTTTTCTGCTTCATATGTTGAAGTCATTTTTCACTCTCAGATTGTCCACAACAAATAGCTCTTCTTCAGTCCAACCAGTCGCCATCGATCGATTCAAGTTTCAAGGCTGCTTCCGTCTTCTCTGTCCCTCTTGTCATTTCTTCTAGTGGAGCTGTCCGTTATGTTCCTCTTTCTTCTCCATTGAATCGGGAGCATTCACTTGTCACGAAAATGCTGTCAACAACTTGGGGGTCCAATTCTGTCGGGATTATCACTTCTCTTGAACACACTCCCGGATGAATCTGGTCTTACAGATGTTCTCATCTCATTCTTCCAATCCCTTGTCTACCTCTCTTCGATTTATCGTATCGATTCTTGTCTTCTGTCTTGTTTGCAAACACTAAGTCGAATTTCAACTTCCTCGCTCCATCCTTTAGTCTCCCTGGGATCAATCGATGCAACGCAGAATCGCACACAAGCTGTGACTTCCGGTTTCATGAGCATCACACCAATCCAACTCATTTGCTGGAAATCGTTGTTATCTATAGCGCAGCACTTTGGTTCTCTGATCAATCAAGAAAGTTGGAGAGTTCTGATGCAGGCGTTCAATGAGCTCCACAATCTTCTTTCTTCCACTCGCGTGACCTTCTCCAACTTAACCCCAAATTTTCGGTCTCTTTTCACGTCAGCATTGGAATTTAGTCTCATGGATTCCTTGCAAGGATGTTCCAATTCATTGGCTGGTGCATCGAACATCCCAAACGCGTCAACAATCGATCCTTCTGATTCAAGCGAGATTGCTTTGTTGGAATCTTGTTTGTTTGGCATATTTGATAATTCGTCAACGATTCTTTTAACAGAACTTAATTTACATAGAGTGCTTAAGGAATTGGGTTATCTGATCTCAAAACAGGTTTCCCCTTCGCTCTTCACTGAAGCTGATATCAAAACAGCAATTGTCTTACTATCAGACAAATTCAGTTCAACATCTCCCTCGTGTCAATCTGACCCAAACCGTCCCTTCCAGTTAAAAATCCCCTCCAATCTTGGACTGATTGGATGGGCCCTTGAGCTTCTTTGCGGAATCTGCTCTCCCTTCCCAAATCAAATCAATATGTCGCAGCTTCTCTCAGATTCAACCCCTTCTCCAGTTCCAATCACATCTTTTCCTCTTCTGCAACTTCTCCGAATCGTTCAACAGAACTCCTTCCGTCTGCGAAT